CCCCCACCCCCGTGGCCCAGTCTGGCCCTGCCCACACTGTGAAGTGGGGAGTGTTCGAGTCTTGCCTGCATATCTTCAGCAGGGCCAGGTGAGCGCACGGGGTCTGAGTGCCCCCACCAGGAGCTCACGTCCTGCCTGCCTGGGGCCCTGCTGCCTTGCTGAGCCCCTGCTTTGTGCCGCCCTGGGCAGACCGCTGCTCGCCTGGGCTTTGACCTGCCCTGGGCGGGTCCCCCTTACCTAGATGGGCCAGCGGCCACACGGGCAGGTGCAGAGCTGTTCACACATGCAGGCAGCCCTGGCCAGAGCCTTGCCTCCAGTGTCTGAGTCCTTCCACTCCACCCCTGCAGACACCCTCGTGGTCATGGGTGTGGCACTGCCTTCGGCACTTGAATTTGCATTCTAACTTCTTAGTGTAAAATATGGTTTCCGAGTGGGCTGGTTTTTCCATTGGCCAAAGCGTAGGAGGGTAAGTGTGGGCTGGAGTCTGAGCAGGCGTGTCTTCCTTCTACCAAAGAAGGGTTTTCAACAACTCATTTGCAAATTTGCTGGAAAAAGTAGATGCTAAAAATCAGTCCAGTTTCCTGGATCCACAGCTGCAGTGACCTCGCGGGTTCCTCTGGGGATACTTGCCTTCATTTATAGTCAGTCAGCAAACATCTGCTCCACGCCAGGCCTGCGCTGTGTATCATAGATACTGAAAGTTCGCGATAGTAGCTCCTATTTCCTTTTTTAAAGAAGTATTTATTTAATTTAATTAATTAATTTATTTATTTTAATTTGACCAGCAAGAAAGAGAAAAAGAGAAAGTGAGAAAGCAAGCTGCCAGGTCCAGAACTCGAACTGTGTTTGACCATACAGGGGTTCAGTGCCTTCATTACCACACCACCTGTCGGCCCCAATGTAGCTCCTGTTTCTTTCTCCTTTTTCTTCGAGAGAGATTTTTGTGTATAGGGTACATGTGCTCACCGGAGAGACAGAGACAGAGAGAGAGAACGCGAGACATAACCCCCAGGTGGGTGCTTGACCCAAGGTGAGACGCAGGTGTCCCGGCTCACCTAGACAGGGAGGCTGGTGTGGGAAGTCTGGAAGGAAGGTGGGCCCCGCCGACTCTATAGACCCCAGCAGTCTGGTTGGTGTTCAGGACCCTCTTCCCCACTGGTCCCCAAGGATTCTAAGAGTGTCTGCCAGGTGAGGGGTGGACAGGACACTGGGCCAGGAGAGACCATGTGTCCATGTCAGGGCTCCAGTCTACTGTGGTCCTTGTCTGGGGGTGGTGAGGAAGCTGGGGCCCCAGGAGGGTACAGCAGCCTGAGAAGAGATCTGTCCCCATGCAGAGGGCCGCTGCTTTCTGGTGGAGAGGTGGGGGGAGGAGGGGACAGATGCAAATGAGGGCTAGGGCTGCTTTCCCAGGGAAAGGGCCTTCCGCAAACACCTCCCAGGACTGCAGCCAGAGGGTCTGTGCACGATTCCTGTATGACACACACAGAGCCTGCAGTCTGTACAGTGTTAAACATCTCATCCAGGGGCTGGCCGGAGGCGTGCTGGTTGAGGTGCTGGACTCCCACATTGTAGACCATGGTTTGAGTCCCAGACCTGGTAGCTTGCTTTTTCACTTTCTCTCTCTCTTTCTGGTCAAAATTTTTTTCAGAGGCGGCACGCAGTGCCAGCATGGAGCCGTTCTGGATCCGCTGTCCGTCCTGCCGCCCGTCCTGCCGCCCATGTAAATGCTGGCGCCTGCCTCCCCCGCTCTTTAACAAGCCCACAGCACGACAATATGCATGAAGCCAGACTGCAGGTGCAGTGCGGGGCCTGCTTGGTGGCTCTGGTGAGGCCCACCTGGGCCTGGAGAAGGGGCTCTGCCTCGTCACCACATCCCTTTCAAAAGCTCCACGCCCAGGTGCAAGGCAGCTCAGGCTCCTCTGGTCTTAGGTGGCACCAAGTCCCCCAAGTCATATCTGTTTATCCGGTGTTTTCCGAAGTGGTTCGGACATCAGATGTCGCCGACTGGCTGGGTTCACCTCGTGGATTTTGGCAGCCGAGCACTCTGAGAGCTGTCGAGGTGTGTGCAGCCAGGACTGTACCCGTGTTGGGCATTTACAGTCCTTACAAACGCCACTAAGACCTTGTCTGTGCAGTGGCTGCCTGGCCTGGCGGCATGGGGCGGGGTGGGGCTGTTGGAGCCCCGAGTGTCCGCGCTTTGCCTGCAGGTGCCAGCAGCAGCTGCTCTCCTGCCCTGCCGGCGGGCTGGGGTGCTGGGTGGCCTCCTCTGCCCAGATCAGGCCTGACAGTTCGCCCGCCGAGGGGGAAGGTGTGGTCTGGCAGGTGCAGCTGTACGTACCAGGCTGTGGGCTCTTTGTGGCCATTGTGGGCCTGTTTACCTGTCTGGGCCCTCCAGCTGCGGCTCCTTGTGGACGTCGGGCTTTCATCGACAACAGACGCCTGCCTCTTCTCCGCTTTCCTCGTAGTGAACTGCAACAACCATCTCTCTCACCCAGCCAAATTCTGGGCATGTACTCGTTTTCTGCAACTCTAGATCAATGGCCAGGACAGCGCCCTAACCACCCGCCACCTGGTTGGCCCCTGCCCACTCTCAATCTGCCAAGGCCATCATTGGCCTCCTCGTACGTGCCCCTTCTTGTGTCTGTCCCTGGCGATGACGTGGGTGTGTGCTCACCGACAGCCTTGAGAAAGGCCGGTGAGTCAGTCCCAGGACCTGGAGGCTCCCCAAGCTCTGCCTGCTTTGTCTCCAGCCTTGTCTCTGCCCTGGATGCCGGAGGCTTTAGTGAGCACATACTTTGTGCCTCACAGTGTCCCGGAGGAGGGCCACCCAGTGCGTCCTGCCTGCAGCCGGTCCACTTCAGGGGTGGATGTTACAGTGGGAGGTGTAGGCTCTCTTCCTTCTTGGCCCAGACATGAACTTCACAAAGCTCCAGTGTCTTAAAAAAATCCAGGATGTGTCCGTCAGCTTCTGAGCAGCTGTAACTGTGGCACTGTGCCCTCTTTAGGGTGGGCTGGGTGTGGAGCCTGGGCTACCAGCGGCCTCAGCCCACACGTGGCCGTGTCACCAGGGCACACTGCAGCTGGCCACAATGCCTGGGTTCCTGTTGGACTGCTGGCCTCTCGAGAGCCCCTCTGTTTATGCTCTGGTTTTCTCTCGCAAGGAGGAGGAAATGGGAGTCACCCGGGTCTCTCACTTCAGAGCGGCTCGCCGAGGTGCCCAGTGGCTGGGCGACAGCAGGAGCTGCAGCTGGAGGCGGCCGAGGGTGGCCTCAGCAGATTGAGAGTGGGGGGGAGGGGCCAACCAGGTGGCAGGTGGTTAAGGTGCTGGATCCCACGTGGCTGACTCTGTGGCATGTGGCTTGAGTTCTGGACCCTTGACTTGAGAATCATGCTGGGCGTGTGTGCATGTGTGTGCCAAATCCCAAGAGGAGACTAGAGGAGAAGGGATTGTGGTGTGGCCACCCCCAGGGGGTGATTTCTCACTTTCCCTCTCTGGTGAGCTCATGCATTCTATCACAAAAATCTTTTTTGGGGAGTAGGGGAGACCAGCAGATGATGTAATAGCTACGTCACTGGACTCCCATGTAGTTGACCGAGGTTCAAGTCCTGGACCCGGTGGCTTAAACTCACACCAGGCGCGTGTGCGTGCGTGCCCAAGATCCCAAGAGGAGAATGGAGAAGGGATTGCCGCATGGCCATTCCTCCTGAGGGGTGATTTCTCTCGGTCTCTTTCTGGTGAGCACGCATGCCTTATAGCAAAAACCTCTCCAAAAAAAAAATCTTTTAAAGATTTTTTTTTTAATTTAACTATTATTATTATTTTCCAGTTTGATGAGAGAGAGAGAGAAAGTGAGAAAGCAAGTCACCAGGTCTGGGATTCAAACTGTGGTCAGCCATGTGGGAGTCCAGTGCCTTTAACCA